CTCTTACTATTCACACCATCCCTGTTAGACAGACAACCTTCACTGCCCCATTTCATTGTCAGAGGCTCTTCAAGTACTGCTGCAAGTCTGGGTTTTTTATTTTGGTTTTTTTGTTTTGTTTTGTTTTAGATTGTGTGTGTGTGTGTGTGTGTGTGTGTGTGTTTGTGTGTGTGCTTGTCTTCAGGTGTTAGAAGAGGGCACTGGAGCAGAAATTGCAGGTAGTTGTGAGCCTTCTGATGTAAGTGCTAGGAACTGAACTCTGGGCCTTTGGAAGAGTGGCAGCACTCTGAACCATCTCAGCCAGCCCCAGCCTGGGCCCTTAACGATTCAGGGAGCACCCAACCTAAAGAAGAGCTTTTGCTCAGACGGAAACTGGACTCCCAATTTATCCTCAAGTACTGGCCCTGCCCACGTCCCTCTGCACGCTACTAAACTCCCCATGGGTGTAAATGCAGCTTCATCTCACACGCACTCCCTCCAGTTCCTGGTGTCTGCCATCCTCAGCACCCATCCACTGGTCCATGATACCTGTGAACGCTGGATAAAAATGCCTGTTTATCTAAAGGGCACAAGCCCACACCAAAATGCAGGAACCAGGGACCTCTCTGTGCCCTGTCCTGGTTCCAACATCTTCCAACTTGCCAAGGATTCATTCTCTCCCTCCCCCTCTCCTCCCTTCCTTCCTTCCTTCCCCTATCTCCCTCTTTCTCCCCTCTCTTTTCCTCTCTTCTTTTCTCTTCCTCTCTCTTTTCCCCCCCCCCCCCCTCTCCCCCCCCCCCCGCCTCCTGCACCAGCTAACAGAGGATGCCACCCACAGGAAACAGCAGGAGATGCAGAAAACACAGATGCAGAAAACACAGTTGAGTCGTTCCTAAGGCTCTGCCAGGCAAGGTTTCAGTCTGGGCACCTAAGGAGATCCCTACCAGAAACTCAGAAGCTCCACTGAAGCCAAGCAGGGAGGCTCACACCTGTAATCCCACACCCAGGAGAATGAGGAGGAGCACACCAAGTTGAAGCTCATCCTTCAGAATGAGATCATAATTTTATTTTAAAAAAAAACAAAAAAAAACTTCGCTGGTTAGCCTGTCCCACAGAGCGTGCCGCCACCAGAGGGCAGCAGGGCTCGCCACTTCCACAGTATCAGACGACCACGGCGGTTAAGGAAAAAGCCCATGACTGACCTTCAACCGCGTGGCGGGAAGGGGTGTGCGTGCGTATTTACATCCACATCCGTGTGTGTGGAAAGACACAGAAATACAGACAGGTGGGCGGGCAGCTGGACTTGAGTCCCCTTCTTTTGCATCTTTTCTCCTTTCCCCAGCTGCCCTTGACCCTATCCCTGGCATAGCAGCAGTGACGTAGAGGGAGGCGCTCTCTTCCTGCCCCAGTGCTGCTCCTAGAGCTAGAGCCAGAAGCAGAGAAGTCACCCAACGGTACTGTGGAGCGGGTCGACAGGCAGAGAAAGCGGGGAGGCTGGTGTGGGAGGAGCGTGGGAACAGGAGACACCTTCTCAGGAGTCTTAACTTTCTGGCAAGTCGTGGGTGCCAGGTCAGCCCATGGGCTGCCCCGGCTTCCTCCCGGTACGCCTACAGGAAACCTATTACAGCACCGGTTTCTCTGGGCGGGCACTGGATAATCTGGAAGTGTAGGGATCCCACAGACAGGGCCGCTTGAAGCGGCTTTGGAGCGGTTTGGAGGATTTGCCTCCCGTGTACTAACAGCAACTGAAAACTTTGAAGGTGGGCAAGCTGTCGGGCCGAGACTTCCAACCAGGTCTGCCAGAAAACAGATGCCTCCTTTCTGGGCCCCACGCAAAGGTCTGGCGCTTCCAGCCCTGCGGCTTGTTTTGAGGCTGGCCTAGGACGGGGCAGCATCTGACTTGGTCCCACGCTCCTCTTTCCCCTGGGCTGGAGGAAGAAGCCCTGCCTAAGAGTTGCCTGATGTAATAGTCCTTGAGGCATAAGCTGTTTCTTGCACATTACCCCGGGCATGCGGGAGGTAACCTTGAAACTCATCGCCTCCCTCTGGCACTCCATCCCACATCAGGGGGGACCACTCTGTAGCTGGAACTCCATAGCCTCTCTCAAAACCGGCCGCAGAAGCTCCCTTCCCCTGCAATACAAACTCTCTCCACCTGTGCACGATCTGGGTGAACGTTTCCCTTCCTGCTTGACTCTGGTGTGACCTATGTTACCCTATGAAATCCACACGCTTGGGGCGAAATAGGGGGAAGAAGGACCCAAGTCCTCTTCCAGGAATCAGAATGAGTTAGACCGCCCCAAACAGCAGGACAGCTCGCTTGGGACACTACGTGCCCTTTCACAGAGCGGGCGGTAGGGGCCAGCGGGAGAAGAGACGGCTCCTGGGAGTGAGAGATTCCTAAGAGGCTAAGAAAGAGACAAAGAGAAACCGGACAGCCGAAAGGTCTGGACGTGGAAAGCGAAGAATGGGGCGTGATCGGAGGAGTGAGTCGGATCGGCCCTGCCCCTGGTCGCTTGGGAACTCGGGTTTCCCTCCCCGGCAGGGGTGGGGCGCTCCTCTCCAGCTCCGCCCCAGACCCGCAGAGACCGCCCCTAGGGACGCGAGCCTCGGCCCAGGAGATGGTGGGGGTCCCAGCTGGTGCGTTATCAGTCTCCTCCAGGAGCCGGGCCGCGCCACCGAGCGGCTGACAGTCTGAGATTAGGCCCCGCGAGGGTCATTAAGCAGCGGCCTGGCCCTAGCCCAGCCTCCTTCCCTCCTGATCCGACCAGGCTGGCAGGTGGAAGCCGGCGATAAGCACTGGGGGTCTCGGCGGTTCTGGGGCGGGCCCTCCTTTCTCCCAGTCCCTGGTCAGGATGGAACATGAGTTGGGGGAGGAGGACCATTAGCCTAGCCCCCCCCTCCCCGTGGGGGTGCCTACCAAGGCGCTAAGAGCTGACAGGGCATCCCCCGCAGTTGCTGGGAGGACAGGGTTCGCTTGGAGGGAAGCAGGCCTCTCCTGGTAACACCTCACAGGTGGTTCTGTCCTGGCCCTGGCAGGCTGCGGGCTGATTGAAACCCCCCTGCACTGCCCACGAACAACTTTGGGCCAGAGGTGGGAAGGAATGTGGCCATCCTCAAGGGGATCAGATCTGGCTGGATCGAAGAAGGGGAATGTTTGTGCCTTAGCGGGGACGGAGCTGGGACCTGGCCTATACCATCCTCTGCCTCACCTTCAATGAGAAAAAAAGAAAAAGCCAGGCTGGCCGGCTTCCTGCCTTAATCAGGAATAGTTCCTGGAGGAAAGGGGGAAATAGTAGGCATGCTTCAAACTGGCAGAGGTGGGTGAGATGGCATGAGTTACAGAAAACCACAGAAGGCAAACGCCTAGAGGAGTCATTAGGAGATGCTGACGTCCATAGAGCTGAAGATCAGAGAGGGAAGCAGAGTCACACAGGAACACAGGAAGGCAGGGAAACCTGGAGCAGAAACACCGTTTGTCATTCTCTGCCCAGAGCCCTACCTCTGCTGCAGGCTGGCTCCTAAACCCCAAGAAGGTGATTTGTGGGTACTCCTTGAGACATTCAGGCAAGCCTTAGACCACAGAGTAATCACTGTGACTGTGAAGGTGAAACAGCGAGCAGACATCTTGAAACAAGGGGGCTCTGGCTAGCCTTCCCACTCAGGCCTCTGGATCTGGAAGCCTGGAAATGAGTCTGTTTCTGGTTAGTATCACAGACAGAGGGACAGATGATATTCGGTGAGATACACAGACACAGAAGAGGAGCTGAATCAGGCAGGTACTTGCTTCTTTTCTCCTTTACCGGACTTGCCCAAGGCTGAGAATCAGGACACTGGTGAGGACTGGGTTTTACTCTTGCTCTGCCAGAGACTAGCCAAATCCTCCACACAGGATCAGCAGCTTGGGGTGACAGCAGCTCTTCCAAAGGTTGCACAGTAGGTTGACTGAGCTCACAGACTTGGGCTTCCTCACTCTCAGCCCCAGCTTTCTTTCACAGCATGTCTCATATGGTGGACCAACACTCTGGAGCCCCAGGAGAGCTGGGCATAGTGGGTGTGTGCTGTATAGAAAAAGATTCAAGGGGCATGGTGGTTCACACCTTTAATCCCAGCACTCAGTAGGCAAAGGCAGGAAGATCTCTGTGAGCTCAAGTCCAGCCTGGTCTAGGACAGCCAAGGCTACACAGAGAAACCCTATCTCAAAACAAACAAACAAACAAACAAACAAACAGATTCAGAAGATCCACAAAGAGCTACGGGGAGGGGTGTTCTTGCAGAAGGGCCTAGCCTTGAACAAGGGCAGGTGGGAAACCTACTCAGCTCACAGGTCTCTGGCCTTTTCCTGCCCTCCACACATGAAAGATGAAAGATACATTCTGAAATGGACCAGGGCTGGGGATCTGCGGGATACCCAGCTCTCATCAGGCATCAGGGTCTTCCTCTCCTGAGATCTCCTGCCTGCTCTAGGCAAAGGACAGGCTTAGTTTTAAGAGACAAGGGCCACCCACAGGCAGAGAAGAACTCAACTCTCCCATTAAAGTCCACACCCACAAGGAGTTCCCATACATACCCAGACACCAGAGGTCTCTCTCTTTCTCTCTCTCTCTCTCTCTCTCATTCCTTCTTAGACACAGCCTCAACTTCTCCAACTAGACTCCTAAGTCCCTAGCTGCCCTATGGGCCCAGGGCTTCTTTGATAATCTGTAAATCCACCATGGCAATGGATCCTAGAAGGTAGTTATAATTGTAAAGAAATGGGAGATGGGGCTGGAGAGATGGCTCAGCAGTTAAGAGCACTGGCTCCTCTTTTAAAGGACCCACGTTCAAATCCCAGCACCCACATGGCAGTTCACAACTGTAATTCCAGTTCCAGGGGCTCTGACATTCTCACACAGACATACATGGAGGCAGAACACCAATGCAAATAAAAATAACATAATTTAAAAAATCAGAGTCTCCACCCCAGAAGTATAAAAAGTCTTTATTTCATAGAAATAAAGCCCGCTTTCATAGTTGCAGGAGGAGGGAGGGAGAAGAGGAGAGGCTGAGCTGAGCATCTCTTTACCAGGCTCCTCAGAATTGAGTAGAAGACCCCAGGAAGTCCCCAGGACACAGTACATCCTGCACTCAGCTTGGACTGAGCCCTAGCCTGAGATGACAGTGATTCAAGAGAGCTGAGAGTGTTGGCTTGTTTCAGCAGCTTCCTGCAGACCAGCGACTGGGTGAAATGGTGGGTATCAACTCTGCACCCCTATGGTCTAGGGGCTGGGACCATAGAGGAGCTTGTCACATGGGTGTGCTGCGGACCCTGCCCTCTTCCTCCAGAACATTCTCGAAGGCATTCTTGTGCTCACTGGACCTGAAAAAGGAGGTGTGGCTTACTGGGTCATTGGCTTCCCTTCCCCCATTTTTCCCCCACCCTCCTGCATCAGCTTTCTCTCCAGAGTTAGCATCTGAGAGGAAGGGGAGAGGGAAGGCTTTCCCCTGTTCATATTTGGACCTGAAGGCCTGAAAAAAAAAAAAAAAAGCCACCCTGTTCCTCCTCTACTAAGTCCCCCACTGAGCCTCCCAAGAACTCCTTTTTCACAGATCCTCCACTCACTCCCCTCCCCCGCTTCACTGACTCCCCTTTCTGCATTGAACCCTTTCTTCCCATGATGCCCACTATCTTACAAAGATCCTGCCCCCAACTGAACCTTCTCCCTCTGTCTTCCCATGGGTCACTGTAGTCCTCACAGAGCCCTCTTTCTTTCATTAGCCCTTCTCTTCATCAGCCCTAACCCTTAGCTTCCCCACCTTCCCCAGACCCCCCAGTAGCACCTCACCTAAAACCAGATGCCATTGAGGAGTATCTGCCATCCAGTCCCACCAGGACCCCGTCTGCCTTGTTTCCAACGATCATGACCATGCTCCCAGGCTCCCTGGAAAAGAAGCTTGTCAGTAGGGTGCGTCAATGACTGCCCACTCCATCCCATCCAAGAAGACTCTGTTCTGGAACCAGGTTCAAGACCCAAAGCAAAGAGTACTCCCAGACCAAAAAGAACTTCTATCCCCTGACCTTGTGGATACCAGCTTCCAACCTCCTCCCCAGACCTCACACCCTCCTGCCTGATCCACGAGGAAAACAAGGAACATGGGCAGTCACAAGATGCTTGTCCTAAGTCCCAGGTCTCTTTCCACTAACTCCACACACACACCCTCAGCCCATCATAGACCCAGCAGGACTCAGAGTACATCCCAAAGTAGGAGATGTGGTTAGTGGCCACAGAAGGCAGAGAAAGGGTTAACAAAACAATTCTGGCAGAAAGCTCCTGCCTTCCATTTTTGAAACTGCTTTTGTGAGGGTTAATATCTGCTCAGCCATCCTCAGCCATCCCAGGCATGCCATACCAGACATGTCCCAGCCAAGCCAACTCAGCTTGCCTCAGTGCCACCTGCCTCAGGGGCACCTCTAGTGTCATCCCAGCCCTTCCTCCTCTAGTGCCCCTTACTGCCTCCCTCCAGCAACTCCCAGATTCCCTGTGAAATAGCTCTTAGATCCATCCCTTTTCTAAACTGCCTCTGTCTCCTGCAAATCCAGACTATCCAGCCTCATACTCAGCCTTCTCGTGTATCTCTAAGCTTGCAGACTTTCGGGTACCATGCACCCGTATGGAACAGACACAAGGACTCTGATAGGACATCTCATCCACTGATTTCAGCTGCCCTGACATAATGCCCCCAGTCTAAGTCATTGGTCCTGCCTGACCCAGGTCCCACTGACCTCACCAGCCTCACTCTGGAACTCTCTGTCCTTCTCCACCCCTGAACTCCTTGTAAAAACTCTTCAGGCTCTGCAAGGCTGTTATGGGGTCCTGGATGCCAGGCACCTTAGCGATATCTGGAAAGAGATCCCCTAAAGCAGATGTAGCTTCATCCAGTAGGGCTCTTGATCTTCCTGCATTCGTGTCTGGTGGCTAGCCTTACTGCCAAGCCCCAAACTCGGGATTCAAGTATACTTCTTATGCACCACCCCATCCTCTGACTTCCTGTGCATCAGGTTCTGGGGTGAATGTGCAATCAATGAAGCCTTACTAATTAACTGCATCCCAGCCCACAAACCAGTGCAAGCGTTGTCCTGCACGCTGTATTTTCCTTCAGCTGCATTTGACTTAAATTGCTTATCCAGTCTGTGTGCCTGTGAGGCCCTCTGCAGCCCATGTAGCTGACCCTCCAAAAGGATGGGAGCTTCTGTTTCAGGGACAAGACCAGGCTCCTATCCCAACTCCATGGGTAGAAACAAAAATTGAGACATCAAGGAGAGAAGACATTTCTTCCAAGCTCATGCCAGGGGCGAGGGAGACGAGAGAGCTATGAAGCTAACAGAGTGCAAGCCTGGGGGGTCAGAAAAGGCTCAGAGCTGGTTCTGTCACCAGCTCTTGCTGGGAACTCTAGCCAGAGGTCCAGAGGTCATCCTCTCCTAGAGTAAAAGCAATGGTTCTACGGCCACCCTGACCACTAGGGGCTTCCCAGCCCCAGGCCTTCAAATGATACTCACGACTCATCCTGGCACCAGAAGTGGTTGACAGCGAAGACAATTGCAACAAGGACCAGAAACACGGCCACAGCAATTAGGCCTTGCATCCAGGGCTGAAGGTTCCCTAGACCTGGAAAACAAAGAGGAGCTGCAGGTATAGAACAGTCTGGAGACTGTGTCAAAATCCAACAGCCTCTGTAGGGCCAAGGAAGACATCTGAGTGGCTACAGTAGACCTAGCCTGTCCACTGGGCTCAGTTTGAAGAAAACCTGAGCAGCCAAAAAGAGAACATGCCTCAGGGTTTTCTATGAGGCTCAGGTTTCCAGAGCCCTCCTTCCTGCACACACCCCCTTACAGTCACATGCAGGGCCCCCTAGGAAGTGCAAGAAAACAGGGACCAAAGGGCAGCTCCAGTGACTGGCCTAGGCCCTCCCTGTCAGCTGGGAGTGGCCCCTCCTCCTCCCACACTGTCCCAGAGCTGACAGGCCTAAGCTGGCATCTGGAAGATCCAGTTCTTGAGCAGAAATCTTCTCTGGTAGGATTAGGGAGGGGGGGGTGAAGTCTGCCCAGGGCTGCTCAGCACTGGGTGCTCAGCTGGGGTGTAGAGATGAAAGATGGTGCGGGAGGATGGGCTCCCGACTAGAGCCCCTTCATCCTCTCCAGCAGGGTGGCCAGGGCACAAAACTCAGAGACCAGGTGAAGATCTAGCCATGTACCCGTTCTACTTTTTTACTCCAATACTTCAAACTTCCCAGAAGTTCTCCTCAGGCCACTGACAGCCCCAAGAAAAAGCATTTTTACCCATGAGAAGGAGGATCTCACTCTCGAAAGGCAAGATATCCAGTAGTTAAGAGTCTCAGGAGGAAAGAGAGGGCAACAGGAGACTTGGCAGGGATCCTGCCTTCAGACAAGACTGTGTGACTAGAGCCATCCTACATTATGAGAGGCTGGGCATCAACAGGCCTCAGCCCGCCTCATTCCCACTCTAAAGTCCTTGGAATCTGTCTTGATGGCTCTTCTGCTGCAGCAATGGCTTACTTATCCTTAATGCAGTCTCTAAGGCTGACAGGTGTTGGGGAAAAAAAGATCATGGAACTCTTTGGGCTGTAGACATGGCAGCTCTAGGTTAGCAACCGCTGGGGAGCAGAAGATGCAGGTGATTGCTCTGCAAGGACCATTGTTTTGGGTACATCCCCTCCCACTCTGGCCAAGAAACTCGGGCTGAGACCCATTCTGTTTTCTGGCCAGTGATGCTCAGGCATTCGGAGCAACCCTGGGAAGCCCTCTTCCATTTTTCTCCTCCTGTGAAAGAGCATCTTACAGATAACCCTTCCCTGTGACCCTAAGGACCATAGTCTCCTGCTCCTCCTCTCGTGGCTCTAGAAAGAGCCTATAGAGCAAGGTGCAGAGTCAAAGCCAAAAGAAAAATGGTTCTGGACCCGTTCCTTCTTGAACAGACATAATTTACTCCACCCTCTCTGGTACTTCGGTTTCTCAGAGGGCTTCCAAGACATGGGACGCAGAGGCGAAGCAAGTATACAGGAACAACTTTGTCAGCTCCCTCCGGACACCAGACTACTGGGTACAAAGCCCTTCCATACCTCCAACCTGGCATCAACTCTGAGAGGTGAGCAGGGTAAGGTTTACTGAGAATGAATGAAAAAAACCTAAGATTCTGAGTGGGCCAGTAATTTCCTCATGATCACACAGCAAAACAGAAAAGCTTAGTGAAGAGTCTATCCATGGTGGGGCCACTCTGGAGAAAGGGAGAAAGAGAGGACTTAGGTCATCCAGTCCAGTGGCTTGTGCCTTAATCCACCCCCTCTTCTGCCCCAAGCAAGCATGAGAGGGTGCCTTGAGAGTGCTCCCAAGCCTCCTGTTTCCAGCCTCTGCCCTCAGGACCCAGTCACCTCTAGGGAAGTTCTTGCTCTGAGGTTTGGATCTCAACTCCTGTTTCTCCCCCAACCCCAGTCAACATGTACCCCACTGTCCCACCTCTCACTGAAGGAAAGCAAATCACAGAGCCTAAGTCAGAGGACCGGCCCAGTGCCTGTTCCTCCTCCAAAACATGATGTTGCAGTCATCATCCCATCCTGGGTCACTGTTTCCTAAGAAGCCCTCTCCTCCCTGCAGCCCAGGTACCCCTTCCCTGTGCTACCTTGTTGACAGCTGGCAGGTGCCACTGCGGTGAGCAGACCCAGCAGGAGCAGGCTGAGGGCCAACATGGCTGCAGGCAGCTAGCTGTAGGGCCTTGGTCCACTGCTGGCGTTTGGACTCCCGGAGCTGCTGGAGGTCTGGGGTGTTTGTATGAGATCAGCCAGGGAGCAATCTGGCTCTGAAGGAGAGGCAGGATTGGGTTAGGCAGGAATGGAGAGAGGGCGGGGAGGAAGGACTGGCCCGCTGGTGAAGAGAAACTGCCCTTCCTCCCATGGAAATGAGCTGCCAGGCCTGGCTGATGCCCAGCCTAACAAATTGGCATTTAAAGTACACCCTCAGAAGCCAGTTAAGGAGGTGAGCCTGGGGACCAGGAAGTAAAGAGGAAGCCCTAGCCTCCTCCAAGACCCATGTTGCCTTAGAAGTCTCCCTCTGAGCTCACCTTTCCTGGCAGCAGTAGGGCTGGGCTCCCAGAGAGAGGTGTGACAGATTTTCTTTCCAGCCTTGAATGGGCCCAGTGGGTGGGGCTTCTTGGAAGACTGAAAGTGGGATTAAGACACTTGCTGGCTGGCTCAGGGAGCCAGAGAAAAACATAGGTAGCCAAAAGGCTCAGGGAGGACTCAGCTGCTCACTTTCCCCAGGGCCTGTCCTACATTCTGCCCTCCCATCACCCGTTTCTGTCCCCCACCAAACCAGACCCTGGGGCCCAACCTCTGAGACACAGCCTCACTTCATAGTCCCCAGCCCTGACCAGTCCAGCCGTCCCATAACCCAACCCCAGCCCTGACAGTCCCATAACTCAAGTTCATTCCCCCTTGGTTCCTGTGGTCCCTGGTAACCTGACAGGCCTCAGGCAAGATTTGCCTTGGTCATGAAAGGTCCAAAATTTGAAATTTAATTCCTCGGGCAACATGACCGTGGTCCTGGTGTAGACAAAGAAGTGGGCAAGTTGAGACAGACCCGCCATGCTGCAGAAAAGTAACCAGGCTTGTGCTTGAGAGATACTGTTGCCTGGCAATGTACCCAGATAGCCCCTAGCCGGTGACCAAGGTCACACAACCCTGCTTCTAAGAAAAATCACAAGATGTGCTAATCATTCCCCCTCCCTAACAGGAGCAGATATCCTCCAGATATGGGCCAGGACCGTTATGGTGCCTAAAATAGACAAAGGCTTGGACATTCCCTGCTTTCAGTTTTTCCCTTTAAAAACCCTGTTTCCCCAGACCTCAGGGCTGCATACCTCTCTGTTTTTACAGGGAACTTGCAGCCTGAGTTCCAGCTTGTATCAAGTAAACCCTCATGTGTTTGCAATGGAGTCAATTCCTGGTGGTCTTTGAGGGTCTCATGAACTGTACATAACAGTCAGAAGCTTCAACATCTTCGGATCCACCTCCACTCATCATAGGAGACAAAAGGCTGAGCAGAACAAGTGAAGGGTGATTACAAATGCTTGGGCCTAGTCTGTGGCCTGGAGTAGCCACAAGGAAGTTCAGCTGTCTCCAGACATCTTGAACAATACAGAGCCAGACCCTGCAGAACCCACCTCTCACCCCACAGGACACACAGCATTCTCCTGGTCTTCCAGACACTAAAAATGGCCCCCAAGTACCTACTGAAGTCTGGGGCTTAAGGCCATAGTGGGTCTCCTTGCCCCAGCAACCCCAGAATACAGGAGTTGAGATTTGAGAACAGACTAGACCCCTTTCCTAGGGAAAGGAGGGAAAAGGATCTCTTGGAAGTCCTTGTTGCTTGCCAAGTCCCTGTTGTTGTTCCTGAAAGGACACTGCACACAGCCCTTTCCAGTGGACACTCAGGTAAGAAACCTCATGCTGTCTTTGTTGGGATCTGTAAGCAGGCATCTCTACAGCCAGCCCCAAGGGGCCTGACAAATGGGACCATCAGGCATCTGTGAGACCATATATGGACCACCTACAGACCACCTGAGGGCCACCTGAAACCACCTGCACATGCTCTGGGTCACCTTATAAGAGCACTCATACCACCACCACCCTCTTTCTCTCTCCCACCTTGCCCAGAGACAGTCTCTGTGACCTCCTCCCCCTTTCCTTAATAAACCTCCCATGTGGAACCAGTCACATGGTGTGATTTGTGAACCTGCCATGTAACTTTGTTGCACAATCCTAACATTGGTGCATTATCTGGAAATAGGTCTTTTCAGTGGCCATATGGCATGGTGGTTGCTTTCGGTGCCAGCACCCCACCGGGGCTGGAAACCTATTTCATTTCTAATCTGTCCATGACCCAATTTCCAGCAACCAGATCAATACCTCCTATATGCAACTCTGGCTAGATTGGTGACTTCCCCTCATTGGTTAGCATAAACATCTCTTAGTAGGGGAAAATTGACCACTGAGCATCCATCAACTTCCTGGAACCTTTTGAGATAGAGGAACCCCCAACCATGACCTTCACTGGCCACAGCTGACCCTTTTTGCTGACCTCCATTTAGGGCTTCCTTTTTCCCTTGGGTGAGATTTATTTTCCCCTTCTACTGGCACAGTTTCACCCCCATTTCTCTTGCTCATCTATGAAAATCCTAGCACTAGGTAAACTGTGTCTTCTATGGGCAGCTGTGCCCTTGGTCTCTGGCCAACACTTACGAGCTGTTGGATCAGGTAGAGCCATACTACTCTACTGAGCCAAACCTTGCCTTTGGGATGCCTCTGGCAGGTCACTGACTCCTACCCTCCCAATGAGAACTGCCCATTCATCCGTTCCTCCAGCATCCCCTCTAGGATGTCTTCTGGAGAATTTTAAACCCTCACATGGAGCCTGAGTTAAAGACTTCTAAGCTCATACGCCTGTGTAATAAAACTTAGCCTACATCTTTCTTAGATAATGGTTCAAATTGGCTGATTAATGGCACATTAAATACCAATATTTTACGGGATCTTTTTAATTACTGTCGGCGATCTGGTAAATAGAGGAGGTATCCTATGTTCAAGCTTTCTCTCTTCTCTGCTCCAAACCTTCTCTCTATTCTTCCTGTTCTCCTACCCAACTTCTTCTAGCTATAAAGTCTCAACCTCAAGAGTTCTCTGCCTTTGACCCTGCCGATGGAACTCCACCTCGCTGTTCTCAACCTCTGGTTTTTCCCATCTCCTCTGCTTCCTCCTCTTCCTCTTCAGCTTCTCCAGCATCCTCACCCATCTCACTAGCCCCCTCCCCAGCAACGGGCTGTTCTAGTTGTCCTACTTCAGCACCCACTTTCACCTCATTAACAGCTATTAGAGGCCCTGCTACCTGCTCTCGCTCGAAGCCACCTTCTTCTACTCAGCATAAACCAGCCACAACTCTTCCCTTGCAGGAAGTGGCCAGTGTGGATGGCTTAGTTAGTGTGCATGTTCTCTTCTCATTACCTGAACTTTCTCAAGTAGAATAGAGTCTAGGATCCTATACCTCCAATCCTTCTTTCATTAAAGAATTTCAATATCTCACTCAATCTTATAGTCTTACCTTCCATGATAGATATAAGATTCTTTTCAACAACCTATTATCTGAGGAGTTCAGGCGAGTTTGGGAACAGGCTAGAATGCATACAAATGAGGTTTGCCAAACAAACACAACACACCTAGTTGGGGCTGAGGTGGTACCCGACCAGGATCCACACTGGGATTATAATACCCCGGAAGGCATTTTTAGCTCGAGATCACTTCACGACCTGCCTCCTGGCTGGTCTCATCAAGGCTGCCCTGAAGCCAGTTAATTATGAGAAGCTCCAAGAGGTCATTCAGGACAAGAATGAAAACCCAACTCAATTCCTAGAGCACTTTACAAAGGCCCTCTTACAACATACTAGACCCCAAAAGTACAGAGGGTAGGCAACCCCTGACAACCTATTTTTTTTTTCTCCCAGAGTTATCCTGACATCAGGGCTAAGCTTAAATGCCTGGGGAGAGGACCTCTGCTTCCATCGGCAGAAATCTTAGCACTGGCCTTTAAGGTGTACCATGGGAGAGATGAGAAAGTCCACAAGCAAAAATACCAAATGCTGGCCAAGGCCATCTGACTGGCCTCAGCCACTACCTAGGCTCCCTTGCCTCCTAAAGCACGAGGACGACAGCAAGAGGGACATTGGGGTGTTGACTGCCACCATTTCTCCCATGATATGGGGACATCAATCCCAGATCACCCTCCGGCTGAAATCCTAGACCTGGCTATGAATGACTGAAGGTACCCGGGTTCCCTTGACCCGACCACTGCCATCACTAGCAGGGAGCCACGGGTAATTATCATGGTATCAGGGCAGCCCATCTCCTTCCTTGTGGACACCTGAGCCACTTACTCAGTTCTGACAGAGTATTGGGGACCAACGTCTCCTTCTAGTTCCTCTATTGTCAGGGTAGGGGACAGCCTTGCCAGCCTTGCCAGACTCCACCACTTAATTGTATTTTCAGGGGTGTTCCCTTGACTCATTCCTTTTTAGTGATGCCAACCTGTCCAGTTCCCTTACTGGGAAGGGACTTTTTAGTCAAAGTGGGAGCCTCTATCTCCTTTACTCCACCCATTGGCCTGACCCCAAGCTAACTGGTATCCTCTTCTCCTAGCTACCCTACTACCAGTTGTGACACATCACTTCCTTTACCAGCCTCTCAAGTGGACCCCCAAGTCTGGGATGTCCAAAACTCCTCTGTTGCTAGACACCATTCCCCTGTGGTCATTCAGCTACAGGATCCTACCTAGTATATTACCCAATCCCTGGGGATGGAAAAAGTAGAAAAGGTAACTAAACACTCTTCTAAGGTCATTGCCACTCTGACATCCCCCTTCCTAAATAATACAAACTTCTCATTTCAGACTCTGACCTTGGCCTACAAGCTCTTTAATGTGACCCAAACAGACCATTTTAAAGCTTTCTGGCTGTGTGTCCCACCTGGGACCAACTCAGAACTACTGAAGACAGCTTCTCTGGTGATTCTGTCAAGTAACCTTACTTCACCATTCACTCTGACTCTGATGTTGCCACAACCCCCTACCTTTTTCATATCACTGTGTGGCAAGCTGTTTCAAGGCATCTGGGACTCTGTAGAAATGCTAAGTTCCTTAGACTGTAATAAAACTAGATCCTTGATACCTCATCTCAACCCCAGTGCCCTACTGCTAATAATACCTCGATTCTTTGTGGTACTCAGGTTTACCATCATCTGCCTGCTGGTTGGCCAGGAGTTTGCATACTGGTGCTCCTCTTCCCTAAGCTGAAGGTGATAAATGAAAAGGAGCCCCTACCAATCCCGGCCATGGACTCAATAAGAGGACAATTCAAATCTTGTCCCTCTTGACTATTGCAAGAATCATGGCAGCTGTTGGGACCGGGACAGCAGGACTAGCCACTTCACTAACTTTGTGTTATCAGCTTTCTTCCAAGTTCATCCAGGACCTCCAGGAAGTGGCTCAGACAATACTAACTCTCCAAGGACAGACTGACTCCCTGGCAGCAGTAGTACTTCAAAAC